GTATGCCAGATCCTAATTGAGCAATAAGACAGGGTGTAGACTCTGATCCCATGCTTTGGTATGTTGCTAAGCAAAGGGCAACAGCCCTGCACTGTCACTCAACAAGGTGTGCTATCATTGCACAATAACTTCCAACCGTACACTGTGATGACTATACTGTGCTATTTCCAGAGTACAGGACATATTTTATTTATGTGTATTTTATTCTGCTGACATGCACAGGAAATAGTTACTTGTTAAATGCCATGTTATAGTAAGTGCATAGTGTATTTTTATCTGGACAATAATGTGAAAGGGATGTTGTTTATAGGTCACTGCAGGTGTGCATGGTCTTCCATACAAAGGCTGGGTGAATAACCTGAGGGCCTGAAAAACCAATGCCTCATTCCTGCCTGGAGCTGTGGGCATGTAGAATCTTACCTACACATTACACTGAGGAGTGGGGAGTCCAGCACCTTGCTATTTCTGACACTGAACATAAAGAAAAAAAATTTGCCAATGCATTTTGTGAGGAAAATCAGGATATGCAGAAAGATAACTGCCCCTTGGAAATTTCTCATAGGAAGCAGCATGAAATTGTGTTCAACTTCACAGTTATCTTGTTTGTTTTGCTAATCCTTACAAAGATTAATAAAGGAATGATGAGACAACAGCAAACTGTAAGCACAGGAAACGACTATTGCCTGAAGCATCTGGATATGATTATGTAAACACAATGTAATAAGAAAGCTGAGAGATTTAACTTTCGAAATCTCCTCTGTTGCCTTCTAAAAAAATACCCTCAGAATATTTACCTTGTTGCCCCAAGCACCCTGAGAGCTGCTAAAACACTGCAATTTTCACTGCAAGTTCCTTGCTACTGTTGATCAATCTGCCTCAGATTTGATCTTTTATCCAAACTTTTCCCAGTGTGTATTCAAGTATCTGACCCTCTAATTTGAGAGAGAGGTAATTACAATTTGAAGGGACTGTTTTGGATCTAACTGCTGTACGTACTATTTTTCTCCTACCTGCTGGCAAATACAATCAATACTTTGAACATTTATTACATGCTATGGCTTCCTTTTTCCTGTTACTGAAACAGTGACCTCTTATTTAAAAGCAAGAAGCTAAACATTACCCACAGTGAGCCATGCTACTCACCCCAAATGGTAACTCAAACATTCCCAATTTTTAAGAATAATGAGTTCTATCACATATAAATATTAGTATTTTTAATATCCATTCTAATACGGTTTTTAGCTTTTTTCTCCCTCAGCAGTTCCCTTTTGTACACTGAGTGCTAGTTTTACAGATTTTTTTAGAACTTTCATTCAAAGGTCTCCAGTTTTATTAACAAATAACCCTAAAACAGTACTTTATACAAATATATATACTAATCTTATTTTGACATTTTTGTGGTTCTCCCTCCATAGATAAGCATTACAGAGCTTGTTTGCATCAGGTTTCTGGGAGACTCTGTCATACTATTATTCCTATCATCTGGCAACTGATGCAGAGACATCTGATAACACCCTCTTTTGTTCCTAACAAGTGATTCAGGTAAACAGTGGCAACAGGAAGAGTTTTGCCCTTCCTAAACCACAAAACGTCACATGAAGAAGATTACCCAGAACAAGCATATTTTTCCATCTGCGGTACTTCATTGCTGCAGCTAGGAGTCCTCAGGCACATCTGCGTACTCACCAAGACTTCTTTCAGGTCTTACTTCAGATAAAGACATAGACAGCAGTAGGAAAGGGGCTGTTTTTGATGATTTCTATAGTAAACTGCTGGTCTGGATGGATTGATCTGGACTGGGGAGGGAGACATGCAGACCCAAAAGCCCACAATGGAGGACAGTGCTTTGCCCAGGTTGTATGCAGCACAGGCTCATCCTTAAACTTCTCTTGCAGCCACCACACCAGAAAACCCAAATGCAAATGACACTGAGAAAGATGCAGAGGAAGACCTCCAGCTCTGTAGCTGAAATGCTTCCTTCAAACAAAAAAAAATGCACAACCTTTCTGTGTTTTTATATCCATGCAGAGTGACTGGACAGTCCAGAATGGAGAGGGAGCTGGTCTGGCTCCTGTCTGGCACCACTCTAGTATCATCACAGTATCAGTGTAATGCTCAGACAATGCTGCTTAATCTCAATAGCCTTTGGCATAATCACTGCAGAGATCAGCAAATTTCAGTCTCATCTCTACTAAGCATATGCCACAGAGGCTAACAATTAGGCCAGAGCCATTTGGTGGACCACTTCTCTGACGGTAGGACAAAACTCCTCTTTAGCTTTTGCTTTTTAAGCACAGGGCTGTAACAGTCTACCAATGACACACGAAGTCAAACACAGTCTCCTTTGTCTTTTCCTTCTTTTTTTTTTTTCTTCCTTCTTCAAAACATCATTTTAGCTGAAATTTTCCAAAAGAAAGCATGTTAAAAAAGGATGAAACAGATGTCTGGCAGGGATACTTTCAAATTCAGTTGATTGGAGTTTGATAAGATTATAAACAACAATGTTCTTCTTGACTAACCCAGTTAGTCAACTTTAACAACAGACAGTGAACTAACTTTGCTCATAACTGAAATAAGGAACTACTGAATGCCAGAGCATTGCAGTCTTGCCCATGATATTAGGTGTTAATACATAATTACAGGTATCAAGATAGTCAGCTGTTTTTCTGAATTAGTTTTGTCCTTTTTTCTTTTTTTTCCCATTTTGATAAAAAGCCACAAATGTTAAAAATGAGTAGTCATTCATTATATAAAGCAGCAGATGAGCAGTAGGTGGAGGAATAGTTATTTGTTCCTACTCATGAGCAAACATACATGGTTTCACTTTTCAAAACCCTTTGCATTTTATTTTGATAGCAAAGCGATCTCTAATGACAAAGAGTTTTGACTAGTAAATCTTTGCACTTTTTCCTGTTAAATCTCTGAAAGCTGACGTCGTTCACTGCAACTGCCCATAGCATCAGCTTTATTCTCTTGAAAGAATGTGCTCCTATTTAGTTTTCCATTAATGTTTTGAACCCTTATCAGAAGTGATAATCTTCCTCCGGTGTTGGCGGGAGCCATACAATTCACCAAAACTAAAGCTAGTGCCTAACCAAATATTCCATCATAAGCACCCCCTTGGGATCTATGTCACAGACAGTATCTTCCTTCAAACAATTTTCAAGGATCAGCAAGGAAAGAGAGTTTGGGGTTTTGATTAGTCAGATAAGAAAAAGGTTATGAAGAACATCATACTTAAATAGAGCCATCTCATTGCTTTGGGGCAAATACATTCAGCTCAATTTGTTTGTTACAGCTGGTCTATCAGAGTTATTTAATTTCAGTCAGCCATACTGGTGCTGGCTTCATCCTTAGCACTGAGGAACTTCCCTTGGTAATTTAGCCTTTGTCAAGACTCCTCTCTTGCTGCATACTGGCTCTGTCCTGTGTCCCATGTTAGAGAGAAACCACCCAAGAGCTGTGAGGTACTGCTGCATATCCCAGTGAATCCACAATCATTGTGTCACGACTGTGACATGACATGGCACCTAGTCTGGAGGTGCACAGCTGCTACGTCACAACGGCACAGGGAGGGCACAGCAGCCCCCAGGAACTGGTCCAGGGATGGCTGCTCTGTCCTACAGCAAGAATCCAAAAATCAGGAGTGACTGGAGAGGAAATGTGAGCATCACTTTCACTGTTTATTTCACCTTTTATGAGAAGTAAAAGGCTGAAATGAGGATGATTCTGGAAACTCTGAAGCATTTGGTTGTTTCAGCATGGGTTGGGAGTTGCCACTGTAGCACCTATTAAAAAACAGTGGCTTGCATCACAGGAGCATGATGAGACACAGAGATACCTGAGCTAAGTCACCACAACTTCCCAGCACAGCTGAAGGTGATGATGAGTCCCAGAGTAGCTGGCATTCCGCTACAAGGAAAATCGCTGCTTTTACTGTTTCATACAGTGGTGGTTATAATCTGCTGGATCAATCTTTCCTTTCCTGCAGCTGAAATCCCAGTGACTGACAGAAGATCATATTTGGAGGCTCCATAGTTCTGAAATTGGCTTATTCTGGAAATGTGCCAGTGTCACAGCCTGGCAAGGCGCAGGGATCAGAATTACACTTGGCTACTCACTCAGTCTTACTGGCTGTTGCATCATCACTGAGGGATGTTAGAAACTTTTGAGTATAAGGGACAGCTCTTTGCTTTTATTTTAGGATTATTTCCATTTATTTCCACATACCTACAAATCGAGGAAAAAAAATGCATTTCTCAAGTCTACTACATTTTGAATGCATAAAATGACATCATTCTTCTGCTTAATGTTTCTTTACCCAGCTTAGCTGAGGAAGGTAGGGAAACAAGTAATGCAAAATGCTCAGAAGTCGCAGACAGGGGATCAACATCGGAAGATCAGATGACAACAGTTATTCATTCATGTCTTGCGAGACAGAAATAAAATGACTTTATGTTCATTTCCTCCCCACACTGCCACCCTTTTCTAAGGTTAACAGAAAGGATTCCTGTAGTACACAAGTTATTTTAAGATCTTGAACAACTTACAGATCTAACATCTTTTTCCATGTGTATAAATAACCCCACCTGTTGTGGTATCACATATAAGTGATCATTAAAATAGATGCTAGCAAAAAATAGTAGTATAGTACATTTCAATCTAAAAATGATTCTAGGAACAAAGCGCAGATAAGAGATGCAGACTTTTCCATATATCAGAAAGATAAAAGGGATTCCCCGCTCTGAGGTGGATTTTCCATAATCAAAAAACAATTATACATTCATCAACATCAACATTATTAAAGTAACTGAAAATTGAAAAAAAAAAAAGTCCTTGATCACATTGTTGAACATCAGACAACATTGTATTGCACGTAGTAGAGGTTATCAAAGTTCTGCTAGAGATGAGTAAAATGTGTCTCAGCTTCATAGATGCACACATCCCCTTTCATTGTTGCATCAGAAGAAATGTGAATTCTCCAGGAGTTAATGAAGTGCTTTTTTTTTTTTTTTTTTTTTTTAATTGTTCAACATGTAAAATGAGAAATTTCCAAGAATTTTTGTGATAAAGTATGCACAGGATACAAGATGAGACACAAGACACGAGACACAAGACAAAGGCAATACTTCTGCTCCAAACTGCAGGCTGATTCTCTGTGCAACCCAACAGCACTGTGCAGGGGAAGAACTGCATTTCTGATAGGAGATCTGGAACCAAACTTCTTGCAAATTGTTCCCTGTAAACTAAAAAATTATGTTGTGAAGGAGGTTATTTTCAAAGTGATATTTTGGCTTCCTTGTCTGGTGGTCATATCACATTTTAGCACCTAGAAATCCTCCACTTATGAAAGCATCTGAATGAAATGTTGTTACTGACGTAACAATTGTCTCCTCATCCTGTAGCTTTAAAGTTATGACTTAATGCTGAGAAAACTTTGAGTTAAGTGAGTTAAATAGCTTCAGTACCTTCAAAGGATGTGGTTAGAATAGTCTGCAGGGGTGGTAAGAGAGTTTTTCTTTGCAGTCAGTGGAACAGCAACAACAGAGAAGCTTTTCAATTGCTTCTGTATTGCAGCCCAGGGCTTTTAGCCCCTGTCTGCTGCACCCACACACGATCTGGTACAGTCACTTAAAAAGCATACAGCAACCTCTCAGCTCAAGGAGTCCTTTCAAAGCAAGCTTTGCTCACCCAAGGGGGCCAGCAATCTGTAGGGGCTGCTTTTTCTATCCCTGAGACACAGTATCACTTCTGCTCTGCTACACTGGGACCACCCTATGCCCATGGTACAGAAACAGGATTTGCTTTTCATTAGTTCTGTTACTATAAAAAAAAAATCCTGTAGGATACTCTGTAGCTAGAGCACTGAATCATTTCTGAAACTTCCTATTCAAATATTTGTTTTATATGGCAATGGTATTAGTAATGTGCAAGTTTTATGCACTGCTATTTCCTCCCACACCCACTGAAAACTAACAAGAGCTGGCCTGTCAAAATAAGTATGTGAATTATAGATCAGCTATAACATGCTTCAAATAGTCAGTGTTCCAGCCTAGGTGATACCTTATAACTTTGCTTTCCTTGTGCTTGCAAAATTGCACAGTCTACAATTCACACACACAAAAAAAAAAAAAAAAAAAAAAAAAAAAAAAAAAGCCTGCATACTGAAGTCTGGATCTATCCCATCTTGCTGTAATTTCCCCCTTGAATGCTTGAGAATGGAGAATTTTCTCTTCTGGTTGATGGAAAGAGACTGAGAATTTCATTTTAGCACACCCAGAATTTGGCTTACCTGCAATGAACACCACTGTTGGCTACTGATGAAGCCCAAGGGGATTCTGATTTCAGTTCAGGTACCTCACTAACACACTTCAACTTTCTTGAAGAGAAGTGAAGGAGTCAAGGCTATCTCTGAAGCTCCAAAAGGCCAGTAAGAAGACTGAGGTCTCTTTTCAGAGCTCCTTCTCTCTCCTTTTGAGAGGATGAATCCATATGCTGCCCTGGTGGTTGGTTCTGGCATTACTCTGTGGTATCAGGTGCTACCCTTTCTGAATACCTAACACATATACTGTACTGTAGGCTATTTTCAAAACCATTAGAAAATGAGAACAAATAACATTGCCTGCAATGTTTGTTTATGTGGTGTAACAAGAACAAAATCTGATTCTGAAGAGTTGTAGAGATGCCTTATGCTATGGAAGCATTGGGTAATAAAATGGCAGAGGCAAACCAGTGTTGACAAATGCAAAACAGTTCACATGGGGGAATAAATACTGACCCATCAGTGAGCTCTGATCTGGTCTTAATCACTGAGGGGACACAAAGATCTTGGAGTCATGACACACAGCCATAGTCACAGATTGTCACATTCAGCAGAACAATTCACAGTGGTGAGAAAAACAAGTCAACATCAACAACTGCTGGAAACAGATACAGAACAATCTAGAGGCCAACTGTGTCACTATAAATCCATAACGCTTCTGCATCCTGAATACTGTGCAGGATTCCCAAAGTATATAATAGAAGTAGAAAAAGAACAGTGAAATGAGATTTTTTTTTTTTTTTTTTTTTTTTTTCATAAAAAGAATTGCTAAAAGGACTGAGATTCTTCATCTGGGAAAAGAGGATATAATATAGGGTCTATAAAATCATGAATGGCAGAGAGAAAGTAAGTATGGAATTACTCTTTGCTGCCTCCTCTAGCACAGTAACAGGGGGGTATCAAATGAAATTAGGAGGCCTGAATGACAGAAGTTCAAACAAAGAGTTACTTCTTCATATATACAATTAAGTTATGGAATGCCTGGCCACAGGATGCTGTGGTTGCTAAGCGTGTCTGAGGGCTCAAAAGCAAATCAGAAGAATTCACTGAAGAAAATGCCAGTGATGGATATCGAATGGAAAGGCATTGCTGCTGGTTCAATGAGAAAATCACCAGGGAAAGGGCCCGAGAGACTGCTTTGAGACTGCACTGTTATCCCCTCCCATGAATGCTTACTGTTGGTGCATGTCATAAAGAGAATACTGGGCTAGACAGACCATCAGTCTGGCTTTGCACAGCCATTCTTGTGTTTTTAACATCTTTATACATCTCTCCTTGAAGATAACAAAAGATACATACCTTTTGTCCAGTTGAACCATCACTTAAGCAAGTGAAGGATTAAAAAAAAGCTCATGGAAGTCCAAACAGGAAGCACTCTGCAAACACAGAGGCATAGGCTGGTGCCTGCAGAGCTACTAGTCTTCATGCTCCATGGGACCTGAAAGAGTCCTCTGCTACCTGCAGCCAAAGCTCAGATGCAGACAGACAATGAAGTGATCTCATTCTCTCTTTTTTTCCCTCCCCCCCCCCTTCAAATAATGGCAGAACCGATACTTATCTTTTGAAAGCTAGGACACACCTGGGCAGAAACAACACAGCAATGAGCCAGAAGCGTGACGGACAGTAACTCTCTCTCATTAATACATCAGGCCAGCACTCAAGGAATACTACTCAGATTTTAGCTTTCCCATGGACTTCAGTTTTCAGTGCCAGCAGCATGGCAGTGCTGCTCGTATACCATGAAGGCTTTATTCCAAACAACTCAGAACTGGCTCATCTAACCAGCTCTACCTCTGGGTGTAGGGTGACCTTCCAGATTAGCCTTTTAAAAGCCTTTCACTATATATGGCATTTTCAGTCTTGGCAAGATAAGTCTGAAGGGAGAGCAAAGGGATGTCTCATGATGCAAGTACTAAAGCATTCTTGGATTTTCAAGAAAAAATACACAAAACAACTTCCTGACTCAAAAAGAGCTGTATCTGGCATGGGAAACTTCTGCATTAGACCTCATCCTGACAGGGAAATATTAACCACAAAATCTAAAGTTTGCTTAGGTGGAAGTGGTAATGACTTGGTTTTATGTTTTATGTGTCTTTTTAATGCATTTTACATGTTATATGTGTAAGCAGGTTAAAGTGCTAACCAGCAAAATTTATGCTTTTGCCTTGAAAGATTCATTTCTCAAAGCCAAAAACAAGTAAGGGATGTATCAGCCAGACTGGATAAGAAAATTTAAACCAACAAAAATGTGAATAATTAGTCAGAGCAACTCAGAAAAACTTCACTAGATCCTCAAAAAGCCATGATTAGGAGAGAAGCCCAAGCTGGATAAAAACATCATATTTCTGAGGAAGTACTGGAAGAAAGTTAAGTATTTTACCGATAATTCTACAGACAAAATAGGACAACCAGGTAATTATAGGCCTGTCAGTTTGACGTCTATTCCAGGCAGAGCGATGGAGCTGCTGATAGGAAAGTCAATTAATAAAGTATTAAAAAACAGTGCAATTTAATTAATGGCAATCAACACAGATTAATGGAAGAAAGATCTTATCAAATTAATATGCTATTTTTATGATAATACAACTTTGATGGATAAAAGCAATTGTGGTAATATTATATATTTTGATTTTGAGTGCATTTGCCATACAGTATCACAAGAGACTGTCAGAAATCAGAACTAATATGATGAGCATACATAGCAAACTGAATTGTTTTCAAACAAGGTAATTCTAAATCTATCAGGCCAATGTAATGTGGGGATATGAGACTGGGTTCTGCTGGAACTTCTTATCAGCTTTGTGCTTATTCATAATGCTATTGGCAGTGCAGGAGAAAGTAATGCCAATGCAAATAATATTTTTCAACAAACCACAATCTGGAAGTGGGCATTTTCTGATAAAGGCCTTTTAGACACTGCTTGAAGAGGAGATGCCAAAGAGAGAGCACGCATCTTGCATATAACCCAATGTAAAGTATCCATTTAGGAACAAAAATCACAGGCTTTTACATGAGATGAGTTCTTCTTTGGGAAAATGAAATTGAAAAATGAACAGGCAGTCCTGGTAGACATCTAGCTAAGCTCAAGAACCCTCTGAAACTGAGCTTCAAAAAAGGGCAGTTTAATCTTATGCTATGCGTAGAGGACGGTATCAAGGGGAATCAAGAGCTTGTATTACTTCAGTGTTTGGCATTGGTGAAAGCTACTGGAATAATGTCAGCACTGATGTCAGCAACTTAAGAAGGATGTTGGCAAACTAGAGGTAGTTCTGAGAAGAACCATGAGGATATGAATGAAAAAAAAGTAAGGTTGTAGAATGGAGCAAAACCACAGTATAAGTCTACTTAGATTTAGCATGTCACAGTAAAAGCTAAAGAATAACTTGATTATAGTTTGTAAGTGCTTTTATGTGGAACAGGCAGTGTCTAACAGGGGACATTCCACTCTGATGGAAAAATATACAAAGAAATCTAGTACAGAGCTGAAAGCACATAATTTTAGTTGCATTAAGGATAAGTAACAACTGCAATCATTTACAACACAATGTGATAGAATCAAATGCCTTTTCTAGTCTTAAGCCCTGCTCTTGCTCAAGTGGGAATAAGTTGTAGGTGAGCTCATGACCCATGATGAAGAGTCAGAATTGGTTATAAGATGGCTTACAGCCTTACCATCTGTGAATGCAACTATGCAAACTGCATCAACGACTATTTTAAAATAAATAAAATAAAAACCTTCTGAGTGAGGAATGGGATACAGACTTGGCTAAGGGAAGTTTCTTGTGTTTTGTGAATGATAGGGATGATGTTTCATTTCAGCTCTGTTTAGTGAACCTGCTCATTTTTCAGTGCTGTCCAAAGGCTGGCAATGCAAATTGCAAAGAAATTTTGGAGAACATATCCTAGAAACACATCCAGTTATCAGGTTTTCTTCTCACATACGCCTCTACCAGCTTCATACTGATGAGTGCAAATGAGGTAGCAAAATATGGCTTAAAAGAAATCATGTTCAGGTTGTATGCTTGACTGGAAAATAACTCCCCATGGCAATTCATTCCTAAAGAAACAAATGGGCACTGTATCTTTCTAAAAGAAGGGACATGTTAAGAGCAACTCAGAGTCCATATGAGTATGTTCAATTCCAAAAGGTTAGGAACAACTAGTCGTACTATTTCATTGCTCCTTTTGCATATAAAGGATTCCCCATAAAGTGAAAACTCAACATTCCTCTTCTTGATCATCATGGATGATCATCATGTGCTCTACTCACTTGGCCCATTTAAAAGAAACAAACCCATCAGTTTTTATTAGTTTGTTTGTTTTCTGTCAATAATAATAGCATGACTTAAAATGCAGGAAATATAAAAGCATTCCCACTATTACATGTGATGAGTGCATGCTTTTCTTACAGGTACTTTTACACAGCTAAAAGGGGGCTGGAAGTCCTGTGCGGGGAAAAAAAATAAAAGACTGTTCAGAAGGGAATTCCACCACAGAGATTGATCTCAATTAGTGAGGTATAACATTAATATGGATATACATAACAGAACCACTTTTCTGGGAATGGTGCCATCCCTGAATAGTCAGAGCTAGTGGTAACAGGGAGATGTAAGGTCTGTCTAGGATAGCCAACAACCCACAGTCTTGACAGGCTGATTTGGAGGGCAGTGTTGTGATTTCTACAGCTGATTTGCTGTTCCTCATGCTATCTGAGACCCATCAGTAACACATCTGACATAGTGATGGAGCTTTCCAAACTAGCAGGACTGGGTAGGCTGCAAACATACTGTGGTCATGGCCACACTGAAACTTGGCTATGTGATAGTATCACTGAAAGATCTAACATGTCACTGGGATCTGGAAACAGAAATAAAGACTGCTGTTTTTGAGCTGAGAACTGGTTTCCCTCCTAGGCAGAACACCCTCCTATATGCACAGATTTGTCCTGCACACAACTGAGACACTTCTTGAATTCCAGCTGAATAAGCACATGGAGACAAACCTCACACTTCAGCTAACAGCTAAATTTCTTTACAATTTCTGTACAACATATCAGAAAGGCAGTTTGCAGAAATGTTGGACCTGCTCCTCTTTGCCTAATTTAACTGTCTTCAGTACGTAAATTAGATTGTGGAGTGTTGTCTTTTTTTTTTTTTTTTTTAAATTGTGTTATTCAACAACACTTTATTTTGATTTATTTTATTATTATCTGAGTGAAGAATTTAGCCTAAGGCTTGATTCTGACTACAGATAATACGCACAGGTATTTATCCCAACATGCTTTGTTCTACCCTTCTTGAACATGCATGTAAGCCCCTCACGTGCAGTTCATGCAAATGAGTGTTTCTTGTTGAGTTCCCCCTCATTAGTAGCTCATTCAGACACACACACAAAAAAAAAAAAGAAAAAAAGAAAAAAAGAGGACTCCTATACCACATGCAAAAATCACACCTCACACCTCTTCACCTCTTTTTGAAGAACAGATGCTTTTCTCTGTGTACTTGAATTACCCTTTTTGATGTATAGAAGAAAGACATATTCCCTTACTGTCCCACAATTTACCATTTTGCTTAACGTGTCTTACTAGCACACTAGAGTTCCATAGCAAATGATTAAAATTTTTCTTACAGAAAATAGAAAATTATATTCAAATTGGCAAGGAGATTCAGTCTTGACAACTGATGAGAAGGTACTCACAAGCATATTTTGAGCTAGCTATTTTGATTAATTTTGCTGGAATGAGGCTGTCTTCTCAATATGACATTTTTCAACACTTAATAGTTGTTTAATGCTCCCAACAGGCTCAGCCCTGCACTTTGTAAATCAGCAAAAAATAAAATGAAGGTCTTTATTTTACCACTTCAAAAATTATTATCCTTTTTTTTTCCGGCTTGCGTTTGTATGCTGATAATATATTTTCTGTAAAGGGACAAGGAGCAGACTGACCTGGAAAAGGAAATCTTTTTTATGTAGAACTGTCTTTGATCACTCACAAGACTTCTGCTCTGATCTAAGCTCATTGACATCAATGGAAGAAAGACTGCTGTCAGCTTGGGAAGAAGGGTTGGCTCCTGTCCACACAGTGTCCATATGCGCAAAAGCAGATGCTAAAAGATAAAGCATATTGAAAGTCAGAGTTACAAGTTACAAAAAAGATACTTCTCTTTCCCTTCCACAAGGTTAATGTTTATCACATTATTATGTGTCTTTTCACTTAACATTTTTTCTTAGTCCCTGATACAGTAAACTCCAATTTCAATATCTATTGTTGCTGCTTGCCCAAACATAAGCCTTGGGTACAGAAAAGAGGAGAGCTTGGTTCACACTTTCTATAACATAAAAATGGAAGGCCTCCTTCATAGGCGCACCTTGTTCTCCAAAAAAAGTAGGAAAAGCAAAAAATGAGGTTCTGTCCCCTGACACTGACCTGTATTTCCTTCAGGAAGAGCCATTCCAGAGAATGAACTCAGCACTTCAATAGTGGACATGATAATCAAAATAAAAAAATAA